CGAGGGCAGCCAGTGGGGCCCCAGGTACTGGAGCTACCACAACAACTGCTGGATGTACATCGCGGAGAACAACGATGAATTCGTGTGCATCCGCGACCTGCAGTACAATCCTCGTTCCTACAATTTGCACGCGCGGACCACGTGGGCAGCATATACGACGAGCTTCACTGGTATCGATGGCCATCGCGCTTGGGCCAGTGAGTTCTACCCGCGCGGCAATGCCTAGCAATGTCGGCCGCAAGGCCCACTGCTCGAGTTTGCTTGAACATTGTCTGTGCAGAGTTCGCCCCGAGCGGTAATTACACGCACAACCTTTTAGCCAGTTCACTATTTACGAAAAGTGGCTTCTTATACACATCTTGGTGATGTCCGAGGCGCGCTCCTTAGGAGCTCTGCCGAAGAGGCTCACCCAATGCAGAATTTGTTTATGTAGTTTTCGTGTTATTCAACACGACGCTGCAATTCTTTTGATTGTGTGAATCCTCTGCGCGACAGGTTCCGTATTGCAGACGACGCAGCTTAGAGTATGATCGTATACCCAGCTTTATATTGATGCTGGTGGCAACACCCGCTGTGTCCTCCCTGTGCAAACATGGCTGGACGCAGCGGCTTTTGATGTTGTTCTAGTTTGCTCGGATCCTCTTGCTCCGCTCACCCGCGCCCCATTCTTCTCCACCCACGAGCGCCGAAGCGTTGTTTGGGGGGCGCACCGAGGGGCACCAAAGTGAGTTCGGAAAGGATTATGGACACTTGGGTGCTCCGTCGTCCTCGTCCTGCTCGTTCGCACTAGCAGAGGCGCTACATACTTTTGCGCACTGCTGATGTGTTCGGGACGTAGCAAAGGCGCTGCATACTTTTGCGCCCTGCTACCTGTGCATTTGGAGGGGTAAGAGGGTGACAGGTTCTTTCTTCCTTTTCCCGAGTCCTGCCCGAACGAGTGGGATTCGGGACGGGGTGTGTGAAAAGGAACCCGTATCATGCCCTCATCTCTACTCCTCGCTCGCCTGTTTGCTCGCCTCATCGGCTCAGGTACTGGAAGAGACCAGGGCGCTGGTCGCGCAGGAGGAACATATCCCTATCTTTCCTTCCTTCCTCTACCTACGGATCAGGGTCTCCGTGCCTTTGTACTCTAACCCATACACAGCGCGAGGGCTTTCTGGACACGACGGCGCGCGTACGATATGCATGTTGAAGTTTAACGCGCGACCGCATCTAGTTGGTCATCTTTCGTTAGAGTATCCTAGATGCTTGTTAGCGGACATACTCAGCATGGACGACAACCCTGCCTACCATCTACACGGCTCTACACAGCCTGCCCAGCCTACCGGGCGCACTCATCACGTCTGCGCACCACGACGTCCTGTGATTTTGCCGACACGTCGCATCCCCGGCCCACTTGCACAATTGGCCCGCCGACATGGGTAATTTAGTACCGCAGGAATACGCCAGACACGTCCTGTGGGAAACTGATTTTTTTTTGACGCCAGCTGCCTGCGCCGCGCCCACGCCCCCCCCCCCCCTACCTCTGCTCAGGGCGAGGGCGCGTCCCCAGAGCCTTGCCCGCCCGCCCAATCATAACGGTACCCGACTAGGATGTTTCTGACCGAGCAGCATGTTGGCATGGCCGCACAGAGTTTGCCCAGCGCAATCCGACGGACAGAATACTACATCCTTAAGCCTTAACCTGTACTGTGGGAGACGACGACCAGGAGACATCCAGGCCAGTCTGGAATGGGCCCAGTCCAATACTGACTTTTCGACCATCGGTTTATCGATCGACATCGCTATCGACCCAGTCCTCGGTAACAGGATGCGTCGTGCATCCCTCGAGGTTTGGAAGGGGCACATTCGAGCAGGACGTGTCGCGTTGTCTGGAGGGGGGGGCCCATGCGAGACATTGGCCGCCATTCGCTGGGCCCCTGATGCGGGCCCCGCGCCACTGCGATCTCACGACGATTTCTGGAGACTCGGCAGTCGCACCCCGTCAGATGGAGCAGCTCCGTGTCGGCAACGAGCTGCTAGGAGCCATGATTGGGCTGTTCGCCGTGCACTTGACTGTTGGGACGTGCTGCTGGATGTGACATCTCATGCCCGCAGGGTGGGGGCAGGAGGCAGTCAGTTCTTTCTTACGTCCGCCCCTTCGGGCGATAACGGCGTCACCCGTAGCATCAGTCACCGACTTCGACCAATGCGAACGCGGCCAGGTTGCCAGGGCCCCTGCACGTATATTAGCGCTGCGCATGGGCACGCTGCACGAGCGACTATTAGGGATGCCAGGGCGCCGACGATGCTCGCACGGACGTGGGGCCCATGAGGTGCTCATGGGGTTCGACAGGGCCCGGGGTGAGTAGCGTGCTGCCAAGAAAACCACATGCCCACCCGCGTTATGTCAAGTACTGGCTGATGGATTCACGGACATGCGCGCATCGCGTGACGATGACGCGTGGCCAGAAGACATGAGGGAGGAGGGGGAGGAGCTTCGTGGGTCTTTGAGGGCTTTCTTTGCTGAGTGGGACCCATGCCTCAGGACCGACGAGTCTTGGACGCCCGACTTTGTTGCGCCTCGACCTGGTCGGCCCCGTGCAGACCCAGAGCGGGGCAGGTTTTGGCCGCCCGAGACCAGGCCAGATTTGCCCGTGCCCGAGCCTGGGCCAGGATTGGCGTTTGATCCAGGCTCCATCCCTCGGGCACCTGGGCCGCAGGAGGCCGACGAGGAACAAGAGTATGTCGATGCGCTTGCTTTTTTAGACGGTGCCAGCGTGCCTCAGCCTGAGGACGACAAGCCGCCTCGCGATTCCCCCTCGACCACTGCTGCCCCCCCCCCCCACCCACCTTGACCTGTCGAGCTCAGCGACGAGCTCCGGGTTCGGATCGCTGCTAACCGTGCACAGGCAAGAATGCGCAGGAAGCTCGGGCATGCTCAGAGAGTTGCACCTTGAACGTTCCAGCCCATCTTCGGAGACGGGCTTTTCGATCAGGTGCTCGACTAGCTTAGAGGAGGAGGTTGGAGGGGGATTGTTTGGAGGAGGTTTACCAGCTAGCCACGGCTTGCAGCAAGATCGGTCAGGCATTTTCGTCAGCCCTGACCTCTGCCCAGGAGTCTCTTTCCTCTGCCCCCAACGCAATTCAGTAGTGGGACTTGTGCGACAGCCCAGCTGACTTTCACAGGTGGTCAGTATCACTATCGTCGCTACCCGCGCGTTTAGTTTCAGGAGGTTGGTGGAGTTGGGCGGGCGGCCACTAGGAGGTAAGGATCGGATGATTGAGGAGCAGAGCGGCGCGGCAGTGTAGCAGCGAGCGCGCGGCCGCCCCCCCGCCCCGACGCCGCGCGGCGGCCCGCCCCGCCACCGCCGCCCCGCCGCAGCTGCCCAGCGGGGCCCGCCCACCTCGCGAGAGTGATCGAAGCTGGGAGGTGGGCAGGGTGAATATGTTGTGACAGCGGTAAACTATGTAAGCTTCTTTGCAACGGCGGTCTTGTCCTGCGCGGCTGACGCGTGCTCAGGCATCGGCGGCCGAGCCGAGGGTCGATCCGTGAGGGGAGGGGGTCGCAGTGGGCGCTCCGAAAGGAACTCGCGAAGCCCCCTCCCCACAGCGGCTCTCGCCGAGGCGAGGTCGCCCCTGTTGCAGCTGCTCATTTCGAGAGCAACGCGCGGTCGTCGAGATTGCGAGTATAGGTGCAGTTGGAGGTTTTGTGATGTTTTCAGGATCGGGGGAGGGAGTCAGTCACGTTCTGTCTGAGGAGCTCAAGTTTTTGAGACGCAATGCGGCCATGTCGCAGGAGTTTGCAGATGCCAGTGCACGACTGGCTTCGAGGGACTAGCACCAGCCGTGGACGACGAATGACAGCAGCGTTCACAGTTACAGTCCTGGCGCCGCAGCCGCCGCCCACGTGGCGTTGGCCATGCGCCAGTGACGAATACTGCAGAGGAGGATGTGGTCAGAGAGAGATGCCGCCTGCCTCTCTTGCCCCCTTCCGCCCGCGGCCTGCGTGCTCCGCCGCCCGCTCCCTCTCTCGTCGCCGTCACCCTCGCCAAAGGCGCGCGCCCCCGCTATAAGTTGCGGGCGCTTCTCCACGCCTGGGCCCGCGGGGGGCAGCGGCAGGGGGCCCGGTGGGCGTAGTCCGTCGCTAACCACACGCCCACTGCGTGTGGCGCCGGACCGCCGAGAGTTCGCTTGTGCGCGCCGCGGCTCGCCAGGTGCTCATGCGCCTGCCCGCCGTGGCGCCAGCCAGCCTGCATTGCTTTGCATAAGCAGTTATGGAGTGGCAGGGTGTTTGGAGTAGAAGGGTAGGGTGTGCCATGCTCGCTCCGCCAGTTGGCAGCTGCCAGTAGCCTCAGCCGACACCTCGGCATGACTGCCGAGCAGACGCGGCCCAGTCAGTTTCGAGCGCAGTGCAGCTCTGCAAGACACGAGGGAAGTCGTGCAAGCCTAGAGCGGAGATCGCAGCGAGCCAGCAGCCACCCTCCCTCTCTTCCTTCTCTATTTGCCTCACCTACCCCCACGCTGTGTTGTGAGACACCCGAGCCCTTGCGGACAGGGGCGCGCCGCGAACGCCCTTGCAGGACCGCCGCCACTGCATGCTCTCTCATACTGACCACGGTTGCGAGTCAGCGACGTGCTGATGTTTAATGACTCGCGGAGGTCCGTGGGAAACGGTGGTGGAAGGAGCGGTGAACTAGTACTTCGGCGCCCATGCCCGAACTGTTTACTGTGCTGTACTTTACCTTCGGTGCCCGTGTAGAGTTCTCGAGTCTCGGCTTTTAGTATACACACAAAAGCTGCCTGTGCGAACTGCCTCTGCTAGCCGCAGCGCCACTCTTTCGCGACAGCCGCCAGGTTCAACACGCGCGCAATCCAAAAATCCTCCTCCTCCTCCTCCTCCTCCTCCTCCTCCTCCTCCTCCTCCTCCTCCTCCTCCTCCTCCTCCTCCTCCTCTTTTCGTCCTCCCACTCATTTCTCGTCCTCCTCCTCCCCCTCCCCCTCCTCCTCCTCCCCCTCAGGTCCGGAGCCTGGAGCTGGACGCCTGGAGGGAGCCCGAAATCCAGTCCATGCTGCTGGGCGGGAACGGCGGGGCCAGGGCGCTCACGAAACCTGGGGCAAGGGGAGCATTTCGGAGAAGACAAAGAAGGCCAACATAAACTTTCGGCGTTCCGCGTGGATTCTCGGATCCGCGCTGTGGCCCCCTTTAGCGGCGCCTCTGGCGCCGCCCCTTTCGCAGATCTAAGAAATCCGCGCGGACCTTCGAAAGTTTATGTTTATGCCGTTTTTTGTTCCTTCACTGGGGCGGGAGGAGTATCGAAGAACAGCCTTTGGCAGGAACATAGATTCTCGGAGCTCCGCTCGGAGCTCCAAGAAATCATGAGTATGTGTTTTGTTTGTCGAGTGAGTGGATGAGGAAAGACGGAGCGAGGGAGGGAGGAGGGAGGAGGCTAGAGGATATCAGAGATACCGATACCGCTGCTCGTCTTGGAGAGTTTTCATCGCCACGGCTACATTATCTTCGAAGTTCGGGGCAGACTGCACTGTGAGATGTCCGAGGAGCGGCGGTATCGTCACTTTTTTGTCTCCCCAGGAGGGAGGAGGAGGAGGACGGAGACGGTGGACGGAGGACGGAGGATGAGGAAGGAGGACGGAGACGGAGGATGAGGAAGGAGGACGGAGGGTGGATTCAAGTGTAATCAGGTGACGCAATCACCTGACCAGAGGGAACGCCCCGAAGATTTCGCTGCCGAGTTTCGCCAACAGAGGGAGCAGGGGTGGTATGATGGAAGGAGAAGGGGGAGGAGGATCTGACACGATGTTTCCAGGTAGGCGTGTGCATGTTGGAGTGTCGCCGCCAGTTCCTCTCTTGCTGCTGCCTTGCTCCTCCCCCGCTCCCGGTTGCAGAGCTCTGTTGCGGACACCGCGGACAGTTTGTCATGATGATCACGATCATGGTTATGGACATGTGGGTGGTAATGATGATGTTGCCGATGTGCATCGTGATATTGATGATGTTGATTACGCGTAAGTTAATGGTGATGATGGTTGAGATGGTCATGCTGCTGATGATTATGAGGAGGATGAGGAGGACGATGATCGTGATGATGATGATGTTGTTGGTAGTGGTTGAGGTGATGATGCAGCTGCTGCTGCTGATGATGATGTTGCGGATCTATTGATTAGTTGATTGTCTGATTGTGAAAAATTGTGATAATGTCGATATCGATGTCGATGATGATGATGATGATGATGATGATGATGATGGTGACGATGATGACGACACTGATGACGATGATGATGACGATGGCGATGGCGATGACGATCACGATGACGATGATGATGATGCTGATGATGATGGCGTCGATGATGGTGATGATGTTGATGGTCACGGCGATGATGATCATGATGATGTTGCTGATAATGATTCCGTTGACGACGGTGACGATGACGCTGACGAAGGTGACGATGCTGACGATGGATGACGATGCTGATGATGATGACGATGCTGCTGCTGATGATGATGATGATGATGATGATGATGATGATGATGATGATCAGGACGATGGTGATGGTGGCGATGACGTCAATGTTGATGCTGATGCTAATGATCACACGCATGATGAGGCCAATAATGTCGACGTTGATGATGATGATGATGTCGGCGAGGATGATGAGGACTGTCATGATGTTGTTGTTGATGATGATGGTGATGTTGCCGTCGATAATGCTGAGGATGGTTTCATTGATGCTGATGGTGGTGGTGTGGTTGAGGTGATTGAGGTGATGTTGACGATGATGATGATGACGATGAGTATGCTGATTATGCTGATGATGATAATGGTGATGATGACGATGATCATGATGATGGTGATACTGATGACGATGACGATGGCGATGGCGGCGATCATGATGATGTTGATGATGATGATGATGATGCCGATGACGATGTTGATGCTGCTGTTGATGATGATGCTTATGATGATGATGATGATGATGATGATGATGATGATGATGATGATGATGATGATGATGATGATGATGATGGCGATGTTGCTGCTGCTGCTGACGAAGATGCTGATGATGCTGCTGATGATGATTATGATGATGGCTAGGATGATGATGAATCTGATGTTGCCGATCGTGATGAGGAGAGAAGGCGTATGCGGATTGAAGATCAGGATGAGGACGATGGATATGGGACGATGCACATGATGCGGATGAGGGCGAGAATGAGGGGGACGATGAAGATGGTAGTGACGATGATAGAGTGAAAGGGGGAGGGAGGATGTGGTGGAGGGTGGAGGATAAGGGACGGCGAAGAAGACACGAGAACGCCGAGGATGCCTTCCCGATACGCTCTGAAGGCAACTTCCGCGTCTTTGTGAACGACGACTCCCTCGACCTCGACGGCGCCTGCTGCGGCGGGGATGCCACCGCAAGGCGGAGGCCGCTCCAGCGACGGGCGGTGGGCGACGACGACTCACGACGACGGCGACGACGACTCACGACGACGACGACGGCGGGTTCGGACAACGACGGACGACGACGAACAACGGACGACGATAACAACGTCGACGGACGATGACGGACGACAACGGTCGACGACCACATCGTCGATGGACGACGACGACGGACGACGGACGACGACAACGACGACGAGCGACGGACGACCACGGACGACGGACGACGGACGACGACCGACGACCGACGACGACGACGGACGATTGACGACGGACGACGGGCGACGAAGACGACGAAGACGACGAAGACGACGGACGATGGACAACGGACGACGAAGGACGGACGACAGACGACGAAAAGACGACGACCACGACGACGGACGAAGGACGATGGACGACGGATGACGACGATTGACGACGGACGACGACGACGGACGACGACGTCGGGCGACGGACGACGGACTACGGCGGACGACGGACGACTGTCAACAACGACGACGACGACTACGACGCTGGACGACGAACGACCGACGACGGACGTAGGACGACGGACCACGGTCGACGGACGACGGCGACGACGACGGACGATGGACGACGGACGACGGTCGACGGAGACGGACGAGGGCGACGGATGACGACGACAGACGACGACAACGGACGATGGACGACGTACGACAGACGACGGCGAGGACAACGACGACGAATGACGGACGACGGACGGCGGATGACGATGAGGGACGATGACGACCGACGACGACGACGACGACGACGACGGACGATGTTGACGAGGACGAGGACGACGACGACGACGGATGACGACGACGACGACGCACGGCGACGACGACTTTGTTAACAGACGACATCGGACGATGACGACGATGACGACGACGACGATGACGGACGACGGACGACGGACGACAGACGACGGACGACGGACGGTGGCAACGACGGTGAGGTCGGACCACAACGACGACGACGACGACGACGGATGACGACAACGACAGACAACGGACGACGTACGACGAGGACGACGACGACGGACGCCAGAAGACCACGGACGGCGGACGACGACAACGACGGATGACGACAACGGCGACGACGCACGACGTCGACGACGTCGACAGGACACAGGACGGTCGACGACCGACAACGACGGACGACGACGACAGACGACAGACGACGATGACGTCGACGGACGACGCACGACGGGCGACGGACGACGCCGGACGACAGCGACTGACGACGGACGACGACGGCGACGAACACGACGACGACGATGGACGACGACGACGACAACTCCCGACGCACGATGACCACGGACGACGGACGACGGCGGACGACGACGGACGAGAACGGACGACGGAGACTGACGAGGTCAACGGACGACGGACGACGGACGAGGGCGACGACGACGACGACGGATGACGACGACCACGACAGACGACGACGACGACGACGGACGACGACAACGACGACATCGATGACGACGACGACGCGAGCGCGTGACGACCGACGACAACGGACGACGACGACGTCGACGGACAGCGTCGACGGACGATGGACGACGACCATGGAGGACACCGGACGACGACGACGATGACGACGACGACGACGATGGACGACGACGACGAAGGAGGACAACGACGACGGACGACGACGACAACGATGGCAACGAACAACGGACGACGACCACGACGACGACTGACGACAGCAAGTACGACGCCCGACGTAGTCGACGACGACGACGACGACGACGAAGACGACGACATTAACAATGACGACGACGACGGACGCTGGACGACGCCGGACGACGGACGACGACGAACGTCGACGACGACGGAAAACGGACGACGCTGGGCCACGACGACGGACAACGACGGACGACGACGACGACAGCGACGACGACGGACGACGGACGCATGACGTCGGAAGCCGCCAGACGACGACGAACGACCACGACGGACGACGGAGGAAGACGACGGCGACGACGACGACGACGATGACGACGACGATGCCGAACGAAGACGGGTTCGACGACGACGACGTTGTTGACGACGACGGACGCCAGACGGCGCCGGACGAGGACGGACGCCAGACTGGCGACGGACGACGAACAACGACGACAGACGACGGACGACGGAGGTCGATGACGACGACGACCACGACGACGACGGACGCCAGACGACGATGTGCCACGGACAATGGCAAATGACGATATCGGACGACGACGACGTCGGAGGACGACAAGAATGGACGACGACAGACGACGACGGACGTCGCCCGACGACGGCGGACGACGACGACAACGGGCGACGAACGATCACGATGACGACGACGACGACGGCGGACACCAATCGACGGACGACGACAGACGACAGACGACGACGGACGACAGACGTCGACGACAGATGACGAAGCCAGACAACGACGCTGGACGACAACGCAGCACAACGACGACGACGATGGACTACGATGAGGGACGACGACGACGGCGGCAGCGACGGACGACTCCGTCGACGACAATGACGACGACGAAGACGACGACGACGACGACGACGACGACGGCGGACTCCCGAGGGCGCCCGACGAAGGACGACGACAGACGACGACGACAACGACGACGACGACGACGACGACTGACGACGACGACGGAACACGACCACGATGACCGCGACGACTGACGACTACGACAACGAAAGAGTCGACGGACGACGGACGACACACGACGACTTCCGTCCGTCGTCCATCGTCATCTTCCGTCGTCGTCCGTCGTCGTCGTCGTCCGTCGTCGTCCGTCGTCTTCGTCGTCGTCGTCGTCGTCGTCCTCCTTTGTCGTCGTCCGGCGTCGTCCGTCGTCTGTCCTCGTCGTTCGTCGTCGTCCGTCGTCCCGCGTCCGTCGTCGTCGTCGTTCGTCGTCGTCATCGTTCTCGTCCGACATCGTTGTCGTCGTCGTCGTTGTCGTCGTCATCTGTCGTCGTTCGTCTAAGTCGTCCAGCGTCGTCCATTGTCGCTGGACGACGACGCGGGACGACGAAGACGACGGACTACGACCACGGACGACGACGACGACGGCAGCGACGGAGGACGACCACGACGACGACGAAGATTACGACGACGAAGACGACGACGATGACGACGACGACGTCGTCGGCGGACGCCCGACGACGACGGACGACGGACGACGACGGACCGTCGTCCGTCGTCGTCCGTTGTCGTCGACATCCTCCTTCGTCTTCGTTCGTCGTCGTCGTCGTCGTCCTCCTTCGTCGTCGTCCTGCGTCGTCCGTCGGGTCTCGTCGTCGTTCGTGTCGTTCGTCGTCGTCCGTCGCCTGGCGTCGTCTGGCGTCCGTCGTCGTCGTCGCCGTCGATCGTCGTCGTCGTCGATCGTCGTGGTCGTCGTCCTCGTCTGGCGTCGTTGTCGTCGTCCGTCTAAGTCGTCTGGCGTCGTCGTCGTCGTTTGTCGTGTTCCTTCTAAGCAGTCCGGCGTCGTCTGGCGTCGTCGAGCGTCCGTCGTCGTCGGCAGTCCCCGCCCGCCGGAAGACGACGGACGACGACGACGAACGACGGACGACGACGACGACGACGATGTGGGACGAAGATGGGGACGCCGACGACGACGACGACGGCGAGGGACGCCAGACGGCGCTTGACGACGGACGACCATGACGGACGACGGACGACGGAGGACAATGGCGATGACGACGACCACGACGACGAGGACGCCAGACGACGACGGGCCACGGACGAGGACTAACGACGATGATGGACGACGACGACGTCGGAGGACGACAACGATGGACGACGACAGGCGACGACGGACGCCGCCCGACTACGACGGACGACGACGACGGACGACGAATGACGACGACGAACGACGACGTCCACGACGACGACGACGACGACGGCGGACACCAATCGATGGACGAAGGACGACGACGGTCGTCGACGCCCGATGACGACGCCAGACAACGACGCCAGACGTCGACGCAGGACGACGACTAAGACGGCGGACTACGATGATGGACGACGACGACGACGGCAGCGACGGACGACCACGACGATGACGACGACGTCGATTACGACGACGTCGACGTTGGCGGACGCCCGACGACGCCGGACAACGGACGACGACGGACGACGAGGACGACGACGATGGCGACGATGGACGACGACGGCCGACGACAACGACGACAACGACGACAACGACGACTACGACGGACGACGACGACGACGACGACGACGACGACGACGACGACGACGGCGGACGACGGACGACGAAGACAGAGTCGACGGACGACGGACGGCGTCCGTCGTCGTCGTCCGTCGTCCGTCGGCGTCGTCCGTCGTCGTCCGTCGAAGTCGACGACCGTCGTCGTCCGTCGTCGTCCCTCGTCGTTATCCATCTTCTTCGTCGTCGTCCGTCGTCGTCGTCGTCCTCCGTCGTCTGTCGTCCGGCGTCGTCGGTCGTTTGTCGTCGTCGTTTGTCGTCGTCCGTCCTTGAGCGTCGTCTGGCGTCCTTCGTCGTCGTCATTCGTCGCCGTCGCCGTCGTCGTCGTCGTTGTCGTTCGCCGTCGTCGTCGTCCTCATCCTCGTCCGGCGTCGTTGTCGTCGTCAGCGTCGTCGTCGTCGTCGTCATTTGTCGTCGTCCGTCTAAGCGTGGAGCATCCGTCGTCGTCGTGGAGCGTCCGTCGTCGTCTGCCGTTTCCGCCCGTCAGGTTGTACGAGGGCGTCGCCGCGCAGCGGTACCGCCACCAGCTTGCTCAGAGGTCGGGGCGGCCGAGCCCGCCGCCGCTGGCGCAGGCGCCCGCCGCGGGCGCGGAGCACGAGGCGGCTCCGAGGGAGGAGGAGGAGGAGGAGGAGGAGGAGGAGGAGGAAGAGGAGGAGCAGGAGGAGGAGGAGCAGGAGGAGGAGTAGGAGCAGGAGGAGCAGGAGGAGGAGGGGGAGGAGGAGGAGGAGGAGGAGGAGGAGGACGACGATGCCTCTTCTTTTAGTGTGCGGGCGCCCTCCCCGCCTCCCCCCGCTGTGAAAGTATCTCGACGGCGGCTCTTTGGGACTTTTCGGACGAGACCTCCCATGCCTCGCGAGACCAGACGGGTCCCCAGCAGGGACCCCACCAGTTGGCGTCACCTCATTAGTGAAAAAGATTGGAATCACGATTTCTAAAGATTTAAATTGCGATTTTCAACTTCTTCCTTCGTCTTCCAAAGTATAAAGAATGAAATCGTGATTTCCATCTTTATACACAGACTACATCATTGTAAGTTTTAAATCTTCTTTTCGCACTTCCCAACTTACCCACCGCGGCGGCGTTTTGAATCGCGATTTCAATCCATCGGCGCCCCCCGCTTGCCCATCGCGGCGGCGTTTCGAATCGCGATTTCAATCCATCGGCGCCCCCCGCTTGCCCACCGCGGCGGCGTTTTGAATCGCGATTTCAATGCATCGGCGCCCCGCTTGCCCACCGCGGCGGCGTTTTGAATCGCGATTTCAATCCATCGGCGCCCTAAGCTACTCTGCGCTACCGCTCTGTGGGGTTTTGTTTCCGTGGCCTGTGGTGTTTCTTTCCGTGGTTCCGTTTCCGTGTAGTTTCCGTGGTTCTGTTTCCGTGTTTTTGGGGGGCCGTGGCTTTTGGGGGCTCGGTTTCGGTGGCTTCTGGGGGTTTGGTTTCCGTGGCCTTTGGGGGTTCGGTTTCCGTGGCTGGGGGTTCGGTTTCCGTGAAACATGGGGGCTCGGCCCAAGGGTACGCGGGCCAGTTGCTGCGCCCGCGATCCGCGGGAGGGGTGTGCCGAAATCGGCGTCGGGTGTCCGCGGCCTCTTGAGGTCTCTGGGGGTCTGTCTTGCAGGGGCCCTCGTAGGGCCGTAGGGCTTCCGCCCCCTCCGCCCCCCGATGCTGTAGCCATTTTGGCTCGTGGCATGGCGGCTCAAGGGCGCGCGGGCCAGCTGCAACTCCCGCGATCCGCGGGAGGGGTGTGCCGAAATCGGCGTCCAGTGTCCGCGGCCTCTCGGGGTCTCTGGGGGTCTGTCCTGCAGGGGCCCTCGTGGGGCCGTAGGGCTTCCGCCCCCTCCGCCCCCCGCTGCTGTAGCCATTTTGGCTCGTGGCAGTTCGGCTCAAGGGTACGCGGGCCAGCTGCAGCGCCCGCGATCCGCGGGAGGGGTGTGCCGAAATCGGCGTTGGGAGGGGTTTTCCCGTAGCACAACCCCCCACGCAGCCTCACAACCCCTAGCACTACCTCTCAGCACAACCCCCAGCACAAACCCTAACCCAACCCCTCAGCACCCCCCCCCACGCAGCCTCACAACCCCTAGCACCACCTCTCAGCACAACCCCCAGCACAACCCCCAAGCACAACCCCACAGCACAATCCCTCACGCAGCCTCACAACCCCTAGCACTACCTCTCAGCACAACCCACAGCACAATCCCCAAGCACAACCTCCAAGCACAACACCCCAGCACATTCCCCCACGCAGCATCACAACCCATAGCACTACCTCTCAGCACAACTCCCAGCACAACCCCCAAGCACAACCCACCATCACAACCCCCTACGCAGCATCACAATCCCTAGCACTACCTCCCAGCACATCCCCCGGCACAACCCCCAAGCACAACCCCTAGCACAACCCCTCACGCAGCATCACAACCACTAGCACTACCTCTCAGCACAACCCCCGGCACAACCCCCAAACACAAACTACAAGCACAACCCCCCACGCAGCCTCACAACCCCTAGCACTACCTCTCAGCACAACCCCCAGCACAACCCCCAAGCACAACCCCACAGCACAACCACCCACGCAGCCTCACGACCCCTAGCACTACCTCTCAGCACATCCCCCGGCACAACGCCCAAGCACAACCCCCCAGCACAACCCCCCGCGCAGCATCACAACCCCTAGCACTACCTCTCAGCACAACCCCCAGCACAACCCCAAGCACAACACCCCAGCACAACCCCTCAGCAGCACTCACAACCCCTAGCAGCCTCACAACCCCTAGCACTACCTCTCAGCACAACCCCCAGCACAACCCCCCAGCACAACCCCCCACGCAGCCTCACAACCCCTAGCACTACCTCTCAGCACAACCCCCAGCACAACCCCCAAGCACAACCCCCCAGCACAACCCCCCACGCAGCCTCACAACCCCTAGCACTACCTCTCAGCACAACCCCCAGCACAACCCCCAAGCACAACCCCCCAGCACAACCCCCCACGCAGCCTCACAACCCCTAGCACTACCTCTCAGCACAACCCCCAGCACAACCCCCAAGCACAATCCACCAGCACAACCCCCCACGCAGCCTCACAATCCATAGCACTACCTCTCAGCACAACCCCCAGCACAACCCCCAAGACGGCCCAAGGCAGCATTACTAGGGCCCCAGGATTGGCTCCAGGGGCTTCGAGCGGGCCCCAAGACGGCTCAGGAAAGCTGGCCAGCAGGTTTTTTTTGTTGTTTGAGATGCTCCGAGAGACCCTAAGAGGCTCCAAAAGGCCCCCATCCTGCCCAATGGGGGCTCTGAGAGGGCCCCAATACGGCCCCAGGACGGCCCAGGAAAGCTGGCCAGCAAGTGTTTTTTGAAAGGGGCCCCCAAAAACGCCGACCACGGTTGCCCAAGAGATGCCCCAAGAGGTCCAGAGGGGGCCCAAAAGTGGCCCCGAAGTGCCCCCGATGGGGGCCAGCCCTGCTCCATTGCCCTGCTCCATTGCCCCCTTGCTGAGGAAAAAGGGGCGATTGAAAGAGGGAATCCGCTAGACCGCCCGCCCAGAGGGCTCCATTCCTCAGCCGCTTCTTCATGCCAAGATTTGCTCGTACTTGCCACTTTCACACCAACTGTCTGCGTGACCGGACGTTCGCCCATGGCGTGGCTTACTTCGACATGTTCGATTTGGTTGGCGCTGTCTGCCTTGGCCACCCCACCAGCCGCGGGAGTGTACATGTACCGGCGGCCGACCGTCCCAGGAGAGCGCTTGCAGATGCGGATTTTTGCAGATGCAGAGGCCGCCGCTGCGGCCGCGGAGGCGGGGTTTATTGCTTAACCGCAACCGCTTCACATCCAACTCCCCGGGGAGGACCCGTGCCTTTCGGCGCAATCCCCCACGGCGCTGCGCAGGCAGGATGACGGCCCCATCGCACTTGTCGGCGAGGTCGCGCCCCAACAGAGCCCCAGCAGGGGCCAGAAACGCAGGCCGTTTACCGAGATTGGACGGATTGATTTCACAGGCTGGGCGAGGGTTTGAAACGGGCCCGCCCTGGGGAAATGAGGGGGTTGCCCGCGGGGCTGCCAGAGCTGCGAGCAGACGTTGGACGGGACAGTTCGACGCCGTCGCTTGCGTAAGATTTCCTTTTCTGGCTTCTTGCAAAACACTCCGCGGGCTTGCCGCCCCCCCCCCCGAGCAGCGTCTTCTGTGAAAACCGCCCCCAGGTGAGACCTTGCGGGAATCCGCGACCACGTACGTCGAGAACACGCATGTGCAGACATTCCGCTCGTCGACGACGAACGGGGCCAAGAGCCTCGTGGCGCCTTGTGGGCGATGCTTGAAGTGCTCGAAAGCGTGGTCTTTCTCCGAGCCTGAGCCGGGCAAAATGCTCATCGAAGTCACAGGTGAATGTGCGGGCGAGAAGGATTTGAAACGCATCCGGCTGTACAGCGCCAAGAAGTACGTCAAGGACTCGTATGCCAAGGCGCTGATAGCCATGACGGCAGGCGGGGTGCCCCAGGACGAAAGGCCCTCCGAGCAGCAGATCAAAAGCCAGCGGCGCCAGGCCCAAAACGAGAGGGAGGCGAAGGAGGCGAAGTACACGGCCGAGTGCATCGGGAGTTTAAACGAATTCTTGGACGAGCCTCCCGAAGGCGTCTTTATATTCACTGACCACAGGATCGTTTCGCCGGACAAGGTGCGCGCGCCCTTCACGGCGGCAGGCATGGAACAGCTTTTCGGCGCCCTCAAGCTGGAGAGTTTTCTTGTGGATTTTACATTCTGCACGAACAAAGAGAGATTGGTCCTCGGGGCCAGTGGCCTTGTCGGCCTCCACGTCAAGGATTCGTTTTCTTTGCCGCAGATGCTGTTTGTGCCAGTCATATTCATCGTCGCCGACCAGGAGGGCGAGGGCGCCCAGCGCCTCCTCGTGCGCCTCTACTTCGAGATGGCCGCCAAGCACGGCATCCCCATCACCGACGGATTCCTCGACTGCGCTTGCTTCAAGGGCGCCTGCGCCGAGGTTGGCGACCGCGTTTACCTCCACAGATGCCTTCAACGCACGAGAACTGACATCAGGTCTGAAGCTGTGAAAAAGGACGAGGTCACAGGCCGCAGGCGCCTCCAAGACCCGGAACTCCTTCAAGAAATCATCGATTGGGTGGACTTCTCCGCGTGGGCCCCCGACGTTTTGGGGTTCCACGTCTTCTGGAGCAGCATCCTGTCGCGCATGGAGTCCGCAGAGGGGGGGCACAACTGGGGGGAACCAGCGATGGCGAGGTACTTGCGCAAACATATTTTGGACACGGCAGGTCCGTCGATCCGCGCCACCTGGGCCTTTGGCCTGGGCGCGGTGCAGCCGGGCTTCACCACGTACGCCCCCAATGCGATCCAGTTGCCTGCGGCACGTCCCCGCGCACCCCCCGCCCCTCCGCCGCGCCAGCGCAGCGCCGCGGCACCGGGGGGGTCGCCCTTTGACTGGCCCTGCAGCGGGGGGGGGGGCCCTCCGAGAGCGTCGTCACCTACCGCGCAACCAACACGGGCCCTACGGCGCATCTAACAGGCATTCCAACGTTCAGCAGAAGCGCACGCTGCGCGGCGGATCGAGCGCACCTGGCGGTTACT